CCGCCCCCGGGTGCCACGCAGCCGGCCGGGCAGCGGCACCGCCGGCATGGCGCGCGCGCTGGGGCTGGCGCTGCTGCTGCTGCCGCCGCTGTGCGCGCTGGCCGCCCGCGACGAGGTGAGCATCGAGGTGCTGCACGTCCCCGAGCCGTGCGGCCCCCGCAGCAAGAAGGGCGACCTGCTCAACGCGCACTACGACGGCTACCTGGCCAGCGACGGCTCCCGCTTCTACTGCAGGTACCGCCCGCGAGCCCCGGCGCCGGCTGTGCGCGGAGCAGYCCCGGGAGGCCGACATGGCCCCCAAAATGAAGCCCCCCCGCCCTGCAGAGCCCTCTGCGCATCGCGCCCTCCTCCATCAGCGCCGGGGCCGGGGCCAGCAGCGGCCCGCGGGGCCCTCGCAGCCGCACAGCGGCCTCTGCCTCACCCGGCGCGCGCGGCCACGTTCACCCGCCCTTTGCGGTGTTGCTGCCACCTCCCTGCTGCCTTTTCCCGTTTTCTTTTCTGTTTTTTGCTGCCGCCTTCCCCTGCGCCGGCAGTCTTGGTTCTGCAGCCGCTCTCYAGGCTGTTCCCGTTTGCCCGTCTTTGCCCAGAAACCTGGGCGCACTGGAAACAGTGSTTTCCACAACGCGGCACTTTGGGTGCCTGTTCGCGGAGCAGGACTTGCCTTTCCCCCCGCCACGTACCAGCCTCCTTCCTTACCCGAATTTCACCCCAGCTCGTACACAGCGGCCTAGTTTCTTTGGTTACAAAGGAGGTTGCACGTTATGTATCCCAAGGCATGACCCTTAGTGAATGACAGTAGAAAAACAGGGTATTTCAAATACTATTGTACTCTATTTGTGTTTTAGTAATCTCACGCACACTTTGACTGCTAACAGTAAAGTTACCTTCTTAAAATATACATATAAATACAGAATTCATTGTTTTCTACTCACTTTTTTTTCATAGTCGGACACAAAATGAAGGTCACCCGAAGTGGTTCGTTCTGGGCGTTGGACAAGTCATAAAAGGGTTGGATATTGCCATGATGAATATGTGCCCGGGAGAAAAACGGAAGGTGACCATTCCTCCATCGTTAGCATACGGACAGCAAGGCTACGGTAAAAAAACAAACCAAAATAACCCAAAATTTTATGTCTTTTGTCTGACAGCAGAATTGCCAGAAATTGACAGCCCATAGAAGCACTTTTTGTCTTACTCTGTTATATTACATTCATGTTTCATTTCAGTCACATGAGTGCTACCTACTTAATCTTTTAATGTAAACCTGCAYTTTCCAAGCAAAATGGAATGTAAATCCACTGTGTGCCACTATACCAATTAAGTAGAAATCATTTCTTTAAAAGACTGCTTACATTTTGGAGAGTTAACAGACAGAGACATGACTACATAATAATTGGAGTAATACAATGCATGATATGGGGTTTGAATTTCTGATATTTACAAGTGCTAAAAGTAAATAGGTAAAGTAGTTCTGATCTTAGTCTTACGCACTATTTCAGCACAATTAAATATTTTAAATTATCTCTAATTTGAGTGTGATAGTTTCACTGAACTCCTGCTGTATGGTCATAACTTTGGAGTGATTTTGTGTCAGTTTCATGCACCAGTTTCATCTGTGCCTCAATTCCAGAGCAGCTAATGAAGCTTACTAGCAGTGAGTTTTGCCTCTGAGCATAAGCCAGTCTTCTAATAGGGAAAAACACYTGGTACCAAGCAGAAGTGATCTTAAAATCTAATATAAGCTGTAACTATTTCTTCTAGGTGGGACTTGAAGAAAGTATTTTTTTCCTGCAACATTCTTGTCCTCTGTCTCAGCATATTCCTGCATGCTGGGGAAGATGTCTGCCTAACCTTGAATTAGAAAAGATGCATGTGGCTTTTGTTAGGTCTTTACATATCTGTTCTTGTTGGTATGTATATTCTTTAAAAATAACTCACACTGAATTCTAGGCTTGTATCCTTTCTTTCCTAAGCGTGTATAAACCATAAAATATATTCAGATATATTTAAAACTTTTACCCATTTAAAAGTTGTAAGATTAAAATCTTTCTGAAACCTGTCACTTTCTTATGGGTATTTTAGATGAGAAGTACAAGTAACAGCTTTGTTAGCCTTCTGCTTATGAACAAAGTAGACTCTTTACCTGCTCACTAGCAAAGAGGATGGGCACAAGTTCAAAATTACCTTCTGCCCAAGTTCTGAGGTTACAGTGTCATGCTCACTAGCTTTAGTTAAGGATAAATGCAGTTTGCATGTTTACATTTTAATTGTACGCTGCATGATTTTTATTTGGCTTGACTTTTACATCCTTTTGTTTTATTCCTGTCTGAAGCCTGCCATAGTTTCTTTTCTGGGACAAGGCAAAATCCCCACTAGCTCACCTTTTTGTAAATCTCATAACTTGCATTCTGTTGCTTCTTTTTAACAGGTTGCATACTTAAAGCAATGTTTTACCTAATGTTTTTTTTACCATAGGTGTAATCTCATAGGAAATTTGTAAAACCTGATATTATCTACTTGTCCCCTCAGGCAAAAAAATACATATGAGCATTGCTTTTGTACTTTAATCTTTCAAAAGCAGATTGCAAATGCTAAATAAAGGCATATATSTAAGCCCATCGTATTACAGTAGGTAAAATGGTCCGGACTTCATAGGACTTTTTTGTCATAATACAACTTTGAGAAACATTTATGTATATATCTTAATCTGTATATTATGGAAAAATAAGGCACTTTATATGTGCATTTCTCATATGTGTAATCTGTGACCATAATGTGTGATTTTTTTTTTATTTTTTATTTTTTTTTTCTACTCATAGCACAGGGTAAGATTCCACCCAATGCAACACTGATTTTTGAGATTGAACTTTATGCGGTAAATAAGGGACCACGCAGTGTTGAAGCATTTAATCAAATAGACAAGGACAAGGACAAGAAACTCTCTCAACTCGAGGTAATAGAAGTAATTTAGAGTAGATCATATTCATAAACCACACACAGTTAATTACTGTTATCTTTTCATGACCTGCCACTGCTTCAGTTATCATGTAAAAATGTTGTCATGTAAGTAAAACTTCTATATGCTTACACAGACTAGATGGTGCATTGTTAACATTTGCTTCAATAAGTTGGTTCCTCTCAGACTTACTGGGAAACAACCCTCCGTGTCTGTGCAGCAGTCGCAATAGCTCATCTTTGCATCACAAGTGTGCTTCAGGGGAGCTCTTGAGTACCCTGGCCTAAAAGCCAAAATAGAGCGGAACTTAACACCAAAAAAACAGCCTGAATATTTACTCAGTTTCTTAGACACAATTCGTCCTTGGTGTTCCTGAGAAACAGGACAAAGATTAGTCTGGACTCTTTCTGCTTCTGACTGTGTTTAAATTGCCAGAAAAATCATGGCACATTATAGATGTAGATTATTGCTCAATACAAATTCAGAGAGTGCCAGAACTTTGAGTGGAAACCACTTCTGAAAACTGTTACCTTTGCTAATAAATGTTATACCCCTCAAAATTTAAAGGCTGTTTAACATTTTGGAGAGGTTTGATGGGGTTTTGCTATAGAATTTCAAATTCTGGGCTTTTTTTAGAATATAATTTGTTTTTATTAAAACTGTACTTACCTACTAATTTTTATAATACATACAGCAAACTCAGTTTCTTTCTTTTATCTTAGATAAGTGAGTATTTGAAGGAAGAATTTGCAAGAGATGGCAAAAAGCGTCATCCGTCAGCCCACGATGAAATCTTAACTGATATATTCAAGAAGAATGACCATGATGGAGATGGTTTCATATCAGCAAAAGAGTACAATGTCTATCAGCATGATGAACTCTAAGTACATAAAAATCTGTTTTTTGGACATTCAATTTAAAAAATTTGCAAAATAATTCTTTGTCACAGATTTTTTTACATTTTTATAGCATCTTTTTATATCTCTTAAGGTGACTATAAATATCTTGTTTTTAACACTTTATAGTCAACTATTTGATAGATTTGATAGAACAAAATAAAATTGGAAAACAGCATGATCTATTACTGTTTTTTTAATCACATCCTAATCTGCAGTATTGCTCAGTGGTCKTCCTCATAATACAAATCATGATCAGAATCGTTAATTTCTGTCCTAACAAGCACAAGAAAAATTGTTCCACTACCTGTTGACATAATTAGAGGTAATCATCAATTCTAAGTTCCCTGTAGAACAAATCAGAAAAACAGAATCTCAGGAAGGAAAGTTTATTAAGACTCTGGAGGGTTTCTGCTGGCTTTTAGGTCAGGATCTGTAGGAATTAGTATTTACTACTGGCAGAGTCAGGCGGCAAATTTAACTGTTAGAAAAAATAGAAGATATGAATGCTATCTATAGAACTTAAAGAGAACAGGTTTTTAAAGGAACAATCTATATGGTTTAATACAAAGTTTAATATTACTTGGAGTTCATAAAAACTCAGTATTGTAAGTGAATTTTAAAATTTAATATTAAATAAATTCATAATAAAATTATGAATTTATCTTTACAGCACAGATTTTGAAATCTGTGAGACTGTGTTTTTATTTGAATTGAACATGATCAGAGACACTGTATAGACTTGAGTACCTATCTGGGCATGATTCTGTTTTCCTCCACATTGGAAAAGCTGTAAAGAACAATCATAGATAGTCTTTTAATTTCAAGTGAGAAAAGTGATTTCAACATGTAGTAATTAGATGTACACAGTGAAAATAGCAGCACAAAAAAAAAAGGCTTCCACCTATGTCCTGTCTTTAACATAATCATAAAGGTGGGAGAAAGGAGAGGAAAAAAAAAACTTGTTTTTTCACTTTAAAATTGCACGGGAAGAGGCTGGACTGCATACCAGTCCATAGCACTTCTAACATGTGTTTATGGTGCTGGAGTCTGTTCTGCAGTGCCCTCGTGTGTGTATTTTCTCAACAACATAAACTTCAGTTTTTACAGTTGTGATCCATGATCTAAACCTTCATATCTGAGTATCTAGGTCTGATCATTTCATAAGCTTTTTCTGCTAAAAAAAAGTTTTCTAAACACTTAAAAGGCACAAAAGTCAAGAGCAGGTAAGATCTAAAACCCAAATGCCAAATGTGGACTGGCTGGTGCGATTTAGTAACCAAAACAAACTACTGACATGTGGTAATCACATCCTAATATGGAACTCCGATTCCTGGGCTTAGTTATTCCCCTTGGTAAATGAAACGTTAGACTGAGTGAACTTTTTTAACGTTTTTTAATCTGATACTTAAATTAAACATTCATGAGAACACTAAATTATTAACACATTTTCTCATTTTACCGTCATACATCAGTGTAGATAAAAGTGCAACATCTTTGGATTTAAGAAACAGCTTATGTAAACATTTATAAAAATATTCTAGCATATAGAATGATGTAAAATTTAGTTTAAAAGTCAATATTTAATTATAATGAATGAGGAAAAGAGAAAGTACGGAAAAGTAGTAACATGTTAGGGAATGCCCTGGAGCATTTCCAAGTAATTAAAGTCATTATTTGTGAAGCAAATCATTTGGAAATAACAGTAGTGTAATAAAAGGGTATGCATATTTAGTATTTTACATTTAAAGAACTCAAACATACTTGTTTTAAAAAACAATGTGGCACATTTATGCCCATTTCTGCAACAACAGGCACTTACCTAATCAGTTATCTTATTCTCTTATGCCAGAGGTCAAAACAGGGCACCGCATGCAATCGTACATACTTTTGTCCATTGAAAGAACACTCTAGGCACCCATACACTGTCTCCCTTTTAGAACTTCCCATTCCACAAAGAATGCAGGGACCTTTAGGGATGTTGTTATTAAGTAAATTAATGCGGATATGAGTCCCTTCTCTGAGATAGCTTGTAGAGAGATCAGTCATGCTCGCAGCTTTTTCATAATAATCTGTAAAAAGGTCCTCCATGTAAGTATCAGAGTGAGCAATGATATCCACTGCTCTCTTATCTGAAAAAGAAAGCACAAACCTAGTAACTGTTTGTATTTACATTATCAGATATTTACAAAAAAGTTTCTTATCCTACTGGTAGATTTATGATCTAATTTAGGAAACCATTCTAAGCTTTACACATTGAAGGTTACCTACCATCTGAATCCTTGTGAGATGAAAATTTTCCTTTAACTTCACAAAAGACTCTCTGAATTTTTATATTACCTGTACAACATTATTATTATTTTTAAAAGATAGGCGTGATAGACAAGCTCTTGAAAAACTGATGTTAAATTACAGCTGAGTACTTTGCTCTTTTAATTTTTAATTTTTCAATTTTAATTTTTTTTTTTCACAAATTACAAGTTATGCTTATTTTGAGTGTTTACAGAAAACAGACAGTACTTAAAACATTTAGAAATTTTGGAAGTGTCCACATTGACCTTTAACAGGTTTCTGAGCATGTAAAAACCATAGGAAAAAATCATTTCTGGCACTACTTAGTTTTCTCCTCTCTCTTCAAAGATGGACTAGTTAAGCTAGGCAACAAACTTCTAGGAAGTTACAACTAACTGAACTGTGTTAAACTCTCCAAAGTTCATTCCCTTGGAGCAGACTGGAGCAGTACAGAAGKTTTAGAACATGAACATTGTGTTCATGTCTCCTGGAGTAAGAAAAGAAATTATGATGGTATCTTGCCCATTTCCTGCCAGGTAAAGATACACCCCAGAAAGTGCATTCTAATGCTTAAATTAATATCATTTAATACATAAACTTAATCATAAAGACTTGAATCTTTGAGTTCTAATGAGCAAGAAACCATAAATTTATTATGTATGAAAATGTCAGACAATCTCAATATAACTTTAAAGAGCTTTACAACTATGTAAGAAATTGAGAGGCTAATTCAACATTAAGTAAATGTTGAATCTTCCACAAAATTAAACAAAAATACAGACTTCATGCATTAATCATGACATTCATTTATAACTATTAAATGTCATACTTCGATGAAACAGATTGGTTCTCAACATCCTTAATTTGGTCAGTGAAGATGACCCAGACTTCTCTTTTTCAAATCCTCCTTTTGAAATCGGAGTCACACAGAGTTCTGTAACAAAGAAAAGTAAGTCTTTGGAAGGAATCTTTGGAAAAAATTTAGGTGAAGTATAAAAATGCTAGTTGTACAGCACAGCTTACCATAATATATTTTTCTATTTCATAATCAGTTTATAAAATTTACAGTGATACAATACAACATGACTAATGTTTATGAATAGGAAGGAAGTTACCGGGTATGCGAAAGGATACAGAGCTACCTGCAACTTCAAGAACAAAAAGTGTTGCATACATCCAAAGAAGTAAAAACTACTTCCCAAATGATGTCTTATTGATTTTACTATTAAAAATGGTGTTAATTAATAGCATCAAGCAATTTCTATAACTGTTGAGTGACTGCCACAGAAAACTCTGTATTAAAGGACACGTGAAGCTGGCTGTTAAAATTTTAGTAACATCATAAGTCAAAAGAGAGTTTTACATTTGATATTACTATGAAATTGAATTWAAAAATGCATTATTAAAAGCAATATTGATAAAATTGACTAATTAATTACAAGCTAAGATAAGAAATACTGAAAAATAGTGTGAATATGTATTTTTCCTCAGAAGAATGCCTTACAGGAACAATGTAAAGTTTTGTATTCGTTTTGAGTAATTGGGGTTATTTCTTCGCAAATCACTTCAGATAACCAAATATGGTAACAATCTATCAGACTGAAGTGAAGGCCTTGACTGAAAAACATATTTGCTTGGTCTTATGAGCCAGTTCAGGAAGTAAGGATGTTATTTTTGTTCCATGCAACTGTGAAAATTTTTAAAAATCTCATACTTACCCTTTAAAACTCCTCCCATGATGGACTGTTTTCTAATACCTGCATTGTTGATCTTTTCAACTATTGCAGCCCTTATAAAGTCAGAATGCTTACATTCATAAAATTAAGAAAGTAGTATTGCATTTTATGGGATTGGGCCTTATGTATACCAAGATCAAGAAAATTGTTTTAAAACAAACTCAGGCTTCTATAAATAATAGCAATAATTACAGTGATGCACCTCACTTACCAAAATTACCATCCAAATGAATATAAAGTTCAAAAACACTAAATGCAATAGTTGTATGCGCAGGAAAAACAATGGCTTTGTCCCGTCCTTTAGAATTCTGATCTTCAATAATGTGAAACTGTGATTTAGAAAAGTATTAAAAGGAGAAAGTTTCAAATTGAAATAATAATATGTGGGAAAAAAACAGAATAATAGGTTAGCTGTATGTATTGGAAATAATAATGTCAGCAGGAACCTTGGAAACTGAACATCAAATTTCACCATTAAAGAATTTCATAGTAACAACTGTGTAGTCAACAAAGTTTGCTACAGAGACAGTAATCTAATTTGCATCACGGTGATTGAGAATTATGTAATGATTCATAAATACTAGAAATGGGCAAATCTGTATTATTCAAACACACCGATAACATTATGAGTATGCATGACAGTATTTGGCGATTCCATGCCTTTACCTTTCCATTGACCTGATTCCCAACACATCTTAGCTCTCTGATCACCTGAAACGAACTCCCCCATGCTGCATCCCTTGCACCTGACTACTCGGTCGCAYCCCTATACAGAAGGATATGTGCTCAGTCCAAAGCCAGCTAAAGACTAGGAGAACTTTCAAGAGCATTTAAGACAGGGAAAAAGATGCTGACCATTTATTCATAACAAACCAAAGATAGAATGAGTTACAGAAGAGGGATGCAATTATGAAATATATGCTTATTGGCGGCTCAAAGTAAAAAAGAAGCAATTTCCACATTTTTACCGAGACTTCACTCAGAATAATGGCTCATTGCGTACCCATCCTTTCATGAATTTCCCATCCCTCATCCATAAAAGCAATACTAACAAAAAGCAAGTTAAAATAACTTGCTTTTTGTTAGCTTTTTGTTAGCAAGTTCTCATCAGACAAGCTGATGAGGTTTGTTTTCGTTTGCTTCTGTGTTTTTTTGTTTTTTAAGAAAAAAAATATAGGACTTCAAGAAACATATTTACCCTCATCGTCTCTCCACGCATTCCAGTATGGACAGTTAGTGAACACTGCCTTGTAGTTCTAATACTTTCCATGACCACGCACAAAGTTTCCATCCTACTTTTTCTTGATTGATGGACTAGACAATGATCAAAATTTATTTTTCTAAATTCAAAGGGAAGGAGAAAATACAGTGATTAGTACCCATTTACAAAGCAGTTAATAYAATCAGTAATTTTAAATCAGTAAATCATCATAACTTCTGTCTCATATCTATGAAACAGCTGATTGAGAGGATCTCAGGAACCTTAAGACTGATTTTTAGTTGCTGGAAACAAAAGTACCTAAATATTCAAAGAAAGAAAGCTAATAACGTATCACTGTTAAAAAGGGTAACTGGACATCCTACAAAACTATAAATCTATCCCTTATACCTTTCTAAGAACAGTTAAGGAACCGTCAACAGAGGCACTAATTAATACAGATTTTTAAAGAAGATATGTAATTCATGTTAGCCAAAAAGAGTTTATGAAAACCAGCTCTTTTTTAATGCAGTTATGAGTCCAATTAATAAAAGCAATAACTTTAATGCTTTGGAGGTTGTATAAAGCATTTGACCATAAAATACTTTACTTAAAAAACTAAAACATAACCACAGAAGCTGGCATATACTAAATGGAAAAAAAAGCAGGCTAACTGACAGGGGTCGAAAAGCAACTGTGAGCATGGAGTGATCATCAAACAAGTGCGTTTCCAGAGGATCTCTACAGGCACCGGCTTTTAATCTTGCAATAGTGAATATTTTTATCAAGAAACAAAGCATCTCTCCTGCCCACCCCCATTAATGATAGTGCTTGGATGTTGCAAAGGAAAAGTAGGTATAGAACAACGCAGGATTACAGATACTAAATGACCTGCACTGCTCTTTAAGAAACCAACAGTATATATGTTTGAGTATGCCAAATGTATAAAGCTAYACACAATGAATAATTTACTGGATGCAAGACTGGAATTCACAGGGGCAACACCATGGCCAGGCATTAATCTTTGAAAAGATAAACAGAAGAATGTCACCTAAAAATAGACACATTTTGTACTTAGGAATTTTTATCATTTGTGCCAACACTACAGGAACACTGAGTTCAGTTTCAGTAGCCACAGTTTAAAAAAGGTGATTTAAAAACTGTATTGCATTTAGAGAAGAACCATGGAACATTATGAAAGAAAAAAAAAAGCAGATAAATCTGTTTTGCTTTTCAAAAGATTTTGAGGTTCAGTAATAAACTCAAAAAATCCTCAAGTACCTATATTGGTAGTAATTTTGGCATCATATGGTTCTACAGTTCATCAGATGAAGGCAGAGAACTTATTCTAGTTCTGAAAGTGGACAATGTCATTTGAAGTAAATTTTGAATTTTCAGTAGTGTAGAATAATATACAGAAGTGCTTTGATGAACTCTTCTAATTATTAAGATATTAATTATTTCTAGAGATGAATATCTTCCTAAAGGATGCACTGTAATTCAAAGGCTTAATCCAGAAGAAGTGCATAGCCTTTGCTTATGCAGAAGGTCATATGTCTAATCACAGCAATTTAACCTAAGACTTTGTAGACCTAAAAGAATCTTTGAAAGCTATTGTGACTGTTATTGTCTGCCTAAAACTAATCAAAACCTAACTATTTCTGTGTTCATAGTATTCTGTTCAGAGGTGCAAYCTAACTGTGCAAAATCTAATTACAGAACAAGAAAACAACATAGGTAATGTAACCTTGTACTAAGTTCTTTCAGTAGTGTGGGTACTTCAACTTCATGTTTGGTCACTATGCCAAATGAAGCTTTAAAGGCAATAGAATCTGATCCAGCAATGTCAAAACCAACATCATTCATTATCTGATTTCCTCTTTTGCCGCTGAGTGAAACATCTGATTTGTCTTCATAGTTGAGCAACTGGTAGGAGGAGACACCTGAATAAAAGAAGATAGACACTGGATTGAAGAGTCAAAATGCAGTATTTTTTTATGTCATTCTACATTTGCAGACAAGGATTATCCTAAACTTTAACACAATAAATTTAAAGAACAGACTTTTACTGTTCTTACAATCCTTAACCCTGAAATTTTATTCTTTTGATGTAGAATTCAAATCAGCATGGTACACTTCGTTGCCAGTGCCGATAACAGCAGTTTTGACTTTTGCCTGACTTTTTACAATTAAAAAGACTTGCTAGTTGTCAGTTTATTTTGAAGGAAAATAATATACCAATTCTGACTTATTTGAAATTTTGTATGTTTATTGCAAAATAAAAACTTTACCTTGAAGAATTTTTGTAATGCTTTCCTTTCATTTTTCAAAAATTTTCTGTTATGCAAAAAGAAAAATGAAAAAAGGATGCTGATGGTTGCCAACTTAATAAGAATAAACAGATAAAATGTAGGCATTAGGTATCTTAATATACTTGATAGGCTTTTTTATACCAACCTTTTTGTTTCTTTGAAGKTTTTTTGATAAAATGACCTTATAAAATCACCTAGTATAAATACTATTTTTTAAAACAAGAAGTTTTTCCTAAGGCTGAAAATAATGCTTGTATCTATTGCAAAAATGAAAATTAAATTACAAAGTTCTTTTTAAAAAAAAGCACAGTGCATTCTGATCGTGACATCTAAGCTTTTCAGAAAAGATTGGTAAGCAGAATTTTAATGAGATTTTGCAATGTTTTACTCAGACAAGTAGMTAACTAACTTGTTTTGACTCTAGTATGATTAGTAGGGTTCTCATATTTTTCATCTGGCTTTTGTCCTGCTATCACCTTTATTTGTGGTCCAGTGATATTTCTGTCTTCCTGTACGCAGACTGACTTGTTTTAGTAGAATTTTTAATTTTTTTATTTAATGGGTTATTTTTTATTTTGGAAAATAAAGYAATGAAAGAGTTTCAGAAAGTATAACACATAAATATTAATTACATGGACTTCTCAAAGGAAAAATAGGGGAAATACAGGCAGGACAGTTCAATTTTGTAGCTCCTAATTCTGACAGAATTTCCTCAAAGCTGCAGGTACTACACTACAAGGGTAATTTAAACACAAATAATCCTTGGTATATATGAGCAAGATTACAAACATGGGAAAACCTTTTGAAAATCCTGTTATTGCAGCCTGTTGGCAAATGCTTGTGCCTGCACAGAGCCCAATTCAGTGAGCTAGCACAAGGCAATACAAGCACGAACCAACTGCAGGACTGAGACCATTGGCTCAGTTGTGTCATCAATATTCAACAGTGAACACACAGAGCAAGTCAACATTAAAAGATACAAATTTTAAGAAATAATCAACACACATTAACATATTTACCAGGAATCTGCTGTAATTTTTTTTTTAAAAAAAGGTTTAACTGAAGTTATGTATTAGTACAGAAAATATAGAGGTTTGTTAATATAATTGASATATTGATTTTTTTTTTCCAGAAAGTCAGAAAGCTTTGTATTTTAACCAATGTTTGACTTGTACTTTTTTCCTAAATATTTATTGCATGAATAATAGAGATGAACTTCTTTACAAATGTGCTAAAGAACCTTCATATTGCCTGTAYAACGTTCATCTGTAACTACTATTCTGTATTTATTGAAAAGCATACATTTTGCAGCTTAAAAGAAAAAGTAGAAAACTTACCTGCAGAAATTTCTTTCTCTCCTTGTAGAATGTCTTTCAGTGTGAATGGTGTTGAAGCAAATTTAGACTTATTTGAAAGAAAACATTTCCTTTTCTTAATTACAAGACTCAGAGGTTGGTATTTATCAGCTTCGCTGAGACTGGGCACAGGAACTAATCTTCCTCCATCACCAACCTGTTTAACAAAGTTTTTGGTTGCAGCAGCAAACATATTATGGCATTAGCAATGATAATAATAAAAAGCTCTGTATCAACTGTAACTTCCACACCTAAAACCCATGTTCTAATTGTTTGCAGTAGTCTTTCAAAAAAAGTTAATTAAGAAAAAAAAACTCTCAATTTTTTTTTTTTTATAAAGCAAGTTGTTTTTTCACTTGGAAAGATCCAATGTCACCACAACTACGCAGCATCTAAAGTCTATTGCTCAAGATCTCTCTCAAAGCCCTTCAGTTCAGCTCTCTAATTCTGTGTAATAAATAATGAATTAACAGTGTAAACTGATAGGGGAGATGTTGTCCTTCCCTCAACAGTTTTAATGCTTCTGTTTGAAAAACAAAATTATAATCTTAGAAAAAAAAAAGACCGTAAATTCTGCAGTTGTTAGCATGTTATTTACTGTTTCTTGGGTCCTCACAGCAGCAGAATTCCAGGGTGTTTTGCCAGTGGCAAACAAAGTGGTCCAGGAGACCGCCTCAATTTCACATTCGAGAAAGCTGGTAGCTCTGCTCCGAGGTATTTCCTTTCAGGGGCAGTTGCATAACGTACCTGTAGAACAGCTCAGCCTGTGTGTAAACAGTGTCCGTCTCGGAAACACACAGGCCAGAGCAGAAGACTTGTGACTGCCGGGATCAAGGTGGAAAATACRCATGGACAGTTGTGAGACTTTAGTGATTCCTCAGGTGCACCCCCAGTGCCCTCATCCAAGGGATTCAGATGTCCGCGATCCAGGGCCTACTTTTCACATAGACTCATTCCACAGAATTGGCTCAGATTTTAAGGAATTTGATCTTCTCGAGGTAAAAAGGCAAAAAGATGAATATGATGCTTAGGCTATTTATGATATTCTTTTCACAAGCTGAAAGGAAAGGCTGCCATAGCTTCCTGCTTGCTCTAGAGGGTGCTGGAAAACCTAAGCTGGCTACARGCTTTGAACAAAACTCATATGAAACACTACAACTCAGTGACTGCTATGCATATGACACTAAGAAAAAATATGCATATTTACTTAAAGCACTTTAACAGAACTTAAAAGTTATAAAGGGAAGGAAAAGCTATTTCTTTTTAAATTAAAAAATGGTCATTCTGTCTTGATTTTGATTTGTCCTGTTTATTGCTTATGATAATTATATGTGAAAATATATAATGCTCATTTCTAATGGGCATTAAGCTTACTGTTCAGTTAGTATCCAATGAGTCAGGCAGAGGCAAGAAGTCTCAGTTTTAACTGACTGGATAAATGGAGCTGACTTGGAAGGGCAACATCCACCTACTAAGTACCAAATTGTGCTGGTTAAATTGTTTGGTATATCCTCTTACCTACAAAAAGATGCTTTTATCTGCCTGATCTCCTGACTTAATTTTGAGTTATATTTACCTACTTTTATAACAGAACAGGTGCAAGGATTTAACATTTTTTAAAAAATAGCAAAATAAAATGCCACTGAAAGACTACTTACAAAATTCCTTCAYTTCCCAGCAGGTGACATGAATATTTCCTTAGGAAGCAGGGGTCTGAGCAAAACAGACCTCGTTTTATTTCAGGAGGTAACAAAAATAACATGAACTATGGGACCATATATGGTCCTTACTATCTGTGTGCAGCTTTATGTTAAATTCTGATTTATGAGTATACCCAAAAGCTACTTTCATTCAAAGAAGACAGATCTTGGCTTTCGGTTAAAAATTAATGAAGCTATGACATAAGCATATAATTAAACATAAGCATTCGAGCTACTGGATGGAGCAGGAGAAAAGAGCCACTGAATAAATTTTGTCTCAGCAATTTACATAGGCACGCTAGGCTGTACACAGTCCGAGATTCTCCCTGGATGATAYGGAGGTAGTCTGCCAGAATAGTTTTCTGTGCCTTACAGTTAAACATGAGTTTCACATGGCGTATTGTCACTTTATTATAAGCMAAGGTGTTAACGTAGTTAGGGTTTAAAATAAAGAAAAATCTAGCTCCTTTTCAAGTTGAAAAAGGATGCACCGAGGATGTCGTAGGGGAACTCATCAGAAGAAAAAAGTTTACTCAGTTGAGGAAAAATCCCCTAAGTATTCAAAGCATCATTTACATCCACTATCGGGAGAAYAGCAAGGTTGTGTTAAAACACAGTTGAATGTATTTATCAAATATATATTGGACACTACTGCTGTCATGGTGGACTCTTGACTGGTTACCTAACATAGTTTGCTCTAGTACTGGCTCTCTTAGCCTAACACAATGATTGCTGCTTACAGCATATTACACTATTTAGAGACTACAGAGGGAAAAAATATCATTTACAACAAGATGAAAGTTCCTTAAAATGACATGAAAGCTTTCAGAAGAGCTAACTTCAGGAAAAAGACTTGCATGTTGGATTTCTAATTGTATAGTTAAAGTGTGGTGAACCTTCAAAAATCAAATCATAAATGTTATTTTAATTATGTAGTATACTGGAGCAACTAAATCAGCTATGGCTAGATTTTTATTTTGTGCAGATTCATTGCATCAAGCTCTCATGTACACATGTATATACTATATAAAATATTCCCTATATAATGCCATTTTCTTCAGGTTTACATCTCAAATAAACTTAACTGCAGCCTCCTTCAGTTCCCTGCCAGAGAATTTACTGTATTAATACATATTCATAGGCCATACTGCAATGTACATTAAATCCCGACCTCCTGCTAGGGGGCTTTCTGTTACAACCCAATCGACATTCAGCAATCAAAGCATTAAAAGCTGCACTTTCTAAGTACCACATCAATGAAAGGCCACCAGATGTGGAGTTCAGCTTACTTCTCTAAGCCTTTTGGTGGCCTTTAGGCTAGGAACAGCTGTTGACCTGATGAAAARGGAACATCCTGCACAGCTGGCTCCTTTCTAGCACCTCCCTGCCTTCCCACTACAGCAACATTAACGACAGAGAAGAAACACAAAAGAGCTTAAGAAGCATAAGTTATAGTAATAGTTTTTAATGCTATTCCACAGACTTACCTTTCAGCTTTCAGAGTTTTGATCACAAAGAGGACAGAGACTACTTGACCTGTGATTCAAGTGTGTGTTTTCTATTAACATGATATTAAATGACTGGATCGATTGCTGGCTTAAGTGTCTGAAACACCTCAGGTTCTGCCTCTGCAACTGCCCTTATTTTGTACACAGTATTTTGAAGGAAAGATGGATGTGTTAGCTACAGACTGTTTAGCAGTAAGAAATGCAGTACTACTCCTTCATAGAGTGGCTTGAAAAGACTGTATGTTTGTTTTTAAGTTTATCGACTACAAGGAGCAGAAACATCTTTCAGCCAAAAGAAGCAGTCTGTCACTCACTACATAAACCCTATTTGTCTACAACAAGGCTACCTTTATCTACCAATATTAAGTGAGTGAAAATAAATCTCCTGAAAACAAATATTTCGTGTGATACACAAATGCTACCTTACTGCTACAGGATGCTAACCTACTGGCTAAACCTTTTTTACTATAATCAAAGTAGGATGCTTAGACTGGGCTTACTTATGACATTAACACTAGTTGTCCTGTAGTACTGGACAATTAACCTTAATCTGATGAAACCTCTTGTATTTGGCTGTGTTAATATATCACTTTCCTCAGTAGGCGACTGCAAGAACTGACTCATAAAGTACCTTCAAATCTCTGGATAGAGAATATTTATAAGTAGACAGAAGTAAGTAGGTGTTTCTAGGGCAATCAAGAATTCAGTATCCTCCTTCATAATTACACCCAGTCTTGTTTAGAGTGTTCTTTTTCAAGCTGTAAGAACATTTCCTCATCTAGTTCCCTAGATTTTTTTTTTTCTCTTTTCACACATGTAGGCATAAGAAGATACTCGAGCAGTTTCCTGATAATAAACATTTTAATAGACATGACACAGACTACTTTTTATACTTAGTGAAAAGACTTTTCTGAATAATGTCGTTGTACTGCGTTGGCTGATGGACATTTAAGTTGAACCAGCTCCTGAACTGGAATTAAAGAACAGACATTTCCTTGCATTATATCATCCCAGTTTGTCTCATTGCTGAATGCAATGTCAGGCTCTCAAAAATGACCTAAAGATGAATTTAAAAGATATGTCTATACCTCTAAATTTTAGCAGTTTAAAAGAATATAACTTGAATGACCCTATCAGTACTCACGGTTCACAAATTTTTAATTTTCAAAAGTGTGTATATTTTTTATTTTCTCAAMGGACTTGTCAAAAAAACTGCTCAAGAAAGCTAGGGAAGTACTTAAATTTGCGCAGTCTCATTTATTTGTTGAAGTTGGGTGAAACATACCCAGACACTCAACAATAAGATAAGCACGTGGATATTTGATTCCTACTCTTGGACTTCTCCACRTGAACAGACAAGTCAGACATTGACTACATATGCAAATTAATCACAACTGAAATCACTATTCACACCCRATTCATGTCTAACATTTTTCTCTGCACAGTTTGGCAACTCCTTTTGAAGTCTTTTTTAATAAAAAGCATAAATCAAAACACTTCATGGGATATAAACCTAACCAGTCTCTTAGCTACCTTACTAGTTGCATCTTCAATATAACGTTCAGAAATAAAAATACGAGATGCTTTTGCAGGACATTTTACAGATACTTAGTGGTTGAAGTAAAAAAGAAAAAAAAAAAGTTCAAAAAAATTATAGTATACTTCCTCACCTAGCCCACAGTATCTCATAAATTTTGAATATTTCCACAGTTTCTTTTAATCTTATTTAATTATGATTACCTAATAGAAAAAAAAAAACATATTCCAAATTCAAACTCATGAACTGTCAACATCCCATAGTTATGGTGCTTTTTAACATTTAGGATACGCTAAATATTTAATAAGTTAATCAGGACTCAAAAAAACAGGTGACGTTATATGTTGGATAGGCAAAAATCCTGTGTATCATCACATCAGAACAGATTTCTGTACCAGCAGCAGAACTTGAAACAGCTTTCTGTGGGCAACTGTTTCAGCTGAGTCAG